TTAATATACACAGTATATCGCATTGATAGTTAACTAAATATACACGATATATCCCATTGATAGTTAACTAAATATATACGATATATCGCATTGATAGTTAACTAAATATACACGATATATCCCATTGATAGTTAACTAAATATATACGATATATCGCATTGATAGTTAACTAAATATACACGATATATCCCATTGATAGGTAACTAAATATACACGATATATCCCATTGATAGTTAACTAAATATATACGATATATCGCATTGATAGTTAACTAAATATACACGATATATCCCATTGATAGTTAACTTAATATACACAGTATATCGCATTAATAGTTAACTAAATATACACGATATATCGCATTAATAGTTAACTAAATATACACGATATATCGCATTGATAGTTAGCTAAATACACACGATATATCGCATTGATAGTTAACTAAATATATACAATATATCACATTGGTCTTGAACTAATTATTCACGATTGGTTTTGAACATAACATACACGATGCATTGTGTTTTATCACACTGGCCTTAGTATAAATATACGTGACGTATCTCATGGGGATTGGACTAACTATGAACGATAAATGGTAATCTCGGAGGCGGACATCCGGACATTTTCATCGCATGGCAACCATTACGGTGAAAACAAAGGCCAGACAAATCTCAGAAAACGGTACTTTGGGATGGTTGTTGAGACTCCCATGAACAGTGTAACAAGATTACCCCTGCGTGTGTAACACATATAAATTTGATTGTTCAGGATTACTTCAAAGTTGAGTTCATGTTGTTTTCTCGAATTTTCACCGGCGTTCCGCGTTCCTCAGCAGCGCGCGCAGAGCCCATAGAAATACGTGGTACTGTGGAGCAACGTGGAACGTCTTGTGACGTAGCTCCACCCCGAGGATTAGCTTGATATCGCCCTTGTAATCCACGCGATATTTATTCCAAGGCGCTGATTATGGTAGATTAGCTGCAATTTTCAATTTCCCTCTTCTGTAATTGTCGTCTGCTCATCACACAACTAACTCGTCGCTGTATAGGTCAGATCGTCGTGCATGTATACTGCGCTGCCATGGTTTCACTCTCTGTTCCTGTTCTTATTAAAATAATACCTGCTGGTTGTACTTTGTATGTATAAGCCTATGAGTGGTAATGTGTTTCCGGATATAGGGCGTTACTGTCGTTAGGAGATGGAGATTGTCCATATCTTGTATGGTGAAATGAAAATGTTGGCTCTGATGATCAAGGTAGATGGTTTCACATAAGTAAAATTAATGTTATTTTGTTTATTTTTACACATGTGACATAAAATAAAACGATTTGAGTTTTTAATGACGAAATATATTTTTGTTTGTTGAAAGCGCTCTATCTAATCATGATGGAAAACTATCATCACCCTGGAAACTTATTTATTATTAAATTATGTGCCATTATTTTTAAATGTTTTCACAATAATAATATTAATAATAATATATTATATATGATTTTTTCATCCAACGTCACCTAGCAACATTTTGCGACATGAAGAAATAATCGCACCACTGAAACATGTGTGAAAATTCGAATTTTGCCATTTTCTATGATGTCCACGTGATTCGTTATTGCATGGGGTACCATACTTGAGACTGTAACTCCCGAGGTGCTACTTTTGGAACGTCATGCAGCGTTTATACCAACGATCATAATGTAATATATCGATAATGACTGCAAGCACATTAAATTCAAGCATTAAAACATAATACTAATATGTCCAGATACAGATTAAAAGGCGGCAGTCGTCGCGCCGCGTTCTGTTTGATATGGGACTCATAGCGACGCACACAAAGCGTGAAAATACATTGTTTATTTACATGAAATTCGAACACGCGCTGCGCGACGACCACCGT